TTTTTGATATCCACTATATCATTGTGTCTAAAATTAGATTGACTGTTGTAATGGGTTGACAGGGTGGGGACAGGAAATTTTTGTGAAGTCGTCTGATGAAACTAGATTGTGAAGGGATTTCTTTCGTTTTATTAATCCTGGCGAAAAATGCTGTTACTGTAATATAATTTAGAATGCATATGTAATATTGTGTTTTTGAAATTAGCAATCCTGCATGACAGAAACATTGCCGACTTCGGTATTAACTTGGGTTAGTGAAGAGACATCCCATGTGTGTTTATTTCAAAAATAAGTCTCGAAATACATCCATGGTTTTCAGACCACCAAGCAAGAAATGCCACAGCTCGACAATGAATGTCAGAATGCTGCATGTGGTAAAGTTTTTTTCCAATCTTTTAATTGTGACTTCGTTTAGTTCAATTTGAATAGATGTCTGTTTTATGCTTTGGCACTTGGCAAAGGTAGCGGACTCATGCGCTATTCACTCAGACCGTAAAGTTTACGCTGTACTGCTTCATCCTACTTATTTTATCTAAAAAAACTTTAGCGTTTGACGTAAATATAAGTTGTAGATCAATTAGTAATAATAAGGTGGTTGTAGGGCAAGACAATGGTACTGATCCTGAATCGGCAGCAACATCGTCAGTTCATTCAGATGATACGCCACCCCGTTTAACTGCTGCCCAAGTTGTAAGTTCGTTCGTAATCGTTTGGGAAGATATAAGAATTATTTAGAACCGAATAGGAGGTGGTGGTGGTGTTAGCAGCTTTTGTAGGTTTTCTCATCTTTTTTTATTTCTGAAAGTCACCATAATTTTGTTCAGAGCTCGTCATTTTCATCAAGTTTAATGGATGGCGAAGAAAGCCGTGGAGAATACTGTGACGATAATGCGTCACCTCCACCTCTTGACAAGTACGCATCTGCTACATCGTCACCAATAGTTCCTGGATCCAAAGCAAGAGATTCAACAGTATGGACTTTACGCCTCAGGCGACGTCCATTTCATACATCTCTGCTGAGTGCTGCTTCTGAGGCTGGTCCTTCGGTGAATAAGAAAAGTTGCTCAGAAACGGATTGGGCGAATAGATTGGCGGAAGTACTCAGAGAGTTGCATCCCAGTCAGCTAGTGCTAGCGAAGGAAACCATCCATTCAACGGTTGTCAAAATTTTGGCTCAAGAAATAGCATCTGATATATCATGTCTTATGAATCTGATTGAAAACCACGATCGCCGCGCTGCTGCTTTCGAAAGAGTTCTTAAGGATTTGAAGAAATTTAAAGCTGATTACACTTATGATTCCACTCTGTAACTTCCTTCTGTTCCTCTATTGATTGGTCCACAAATATTTTCTTTGTTTATGGTTATTCCGCAACCATTGAAGTGCCGGTACTATTAGGTAGTGTTTAAAAATAACGCTAAAATGAGCTGGACTTGAGGTACTTATATTTATTCACCTTATGTCGTTATTGGTCGTTGTTGGCGTAAACATTGTTCGGATCAGTCTGAAGTAGATCGTCTTGAGAATTTTGAGAATTTAAATACAGACGTTACAGTGTATTTAAATGACGTATGCTAATGGTCCTAATATCTTAAATTATCTAATTCTTCATCAAGTAATGCTTGGAACCTTGATGATAATATGCAGCTGCATTTAGTGGTTTCGAGGTTTTAGCTGGCGGAGCCATCCCGGTGATTTAGATGTGTTTGTCCATATTTATCCCTTTTTTATCTCTTCAACCACCTTTCGTCCTATACAAACCTTATGTATAATTGTAGTATTTGTACTCTGGAATGTTATGTATTTAAATTAAATTTTGTTACTAGTACCAACAGGATTTGTCGCAGTGTTCGTCAAAAATGTGATATGCAGTGACGAGGGTTTTCTTTTCATCTCTCTCTGTTCGTTTGTATATTGATTTGACTTTTTTTTACCACATGTTAATTTTAACTTGATTAATTTACTTCCATATAAAGTACAATTTCAAATTTCACGAAATCTCTGGTTTTTTAATGGATCCGTCTCTAATCGGCGTTTTTAATCCCTATTAGCAAGCAAGCAGTTTTATTATTCGCAAAGTTATAATGTTCGGGAGTAAATTATAAAGGATTGCGATTATGTTTTTCTAAATAATCCATGAGTCTAACATTTTGCGCATTACGTCGTAGGTCCCCTAATAGCATCTTGTTTTCTAAATTCCCTAATAGTACTGTGCTTTTTGAAGGGTGCATAGCAGGTTAGATGATGGCCGTTTTATAAGAGAAAATGGAATCGCATATGCAATCATACCGATATTCCATCAAATCAAATATCGAAGTTAATGAACAAGGAGTAGAATTCACAGTACTGTTTAGGTGTCGTTACGTGAAGCGTAGGTGGTAGGCTATTAATAGTATCTTTAAAAGGGCTAATTTTACCTATAATTGTCGATCTTCCATTACGGTGACATGGGAGATTGATTTCAATTGAAGTAAATATACAAGTATCGATATGTAGAACTGTTATATAATTTTTGCCACGGTACTTTAAAAGGTACTGTCAGGCGTTTGTAAAGTATACTTACAGTGCAACAATATCACATTAGTGTATTGTGTGGTCAGTCTGTTTTCCGAAATTTCCAACACGACATGTGATGGAGATGTCCGGTCCAGGTGATTTCGTAGCAGATAATCTTGCATCAGGTGGTGCGGTGTGCGGGACAGCAGCTGTTGCAGGAGTGCAAGAAACATCGAGCAGCGGTACTCCTGCCAAGGTTTTAAAATTTTTCTATTGTATCCAAATTCCGTAGTGGAAATTCCTGGTTTATCAGCGCTTTCGATATTACAAGAGATTAAATATATTGTGTATTCTAGAGCTAGCTTGAACTTTTGCAGAAACCCAAGAAAGCGTGTCGCGCTAGAACTGGTTATATGTTATTCCACGGTGAGGCTAGAAAGCGCATCAGAGCAGCACATCCTGAACTGAATTTTGTTGAAGTGAGCAAACGTGTCGGCGAAGAGGTAAATTGTAATGCATATGTTTTCATCGTCATTATAAAAATATAAGGTAAACATCTATGATCAAATCGTTATTTACCTATAGATATTTTATTAATTGATAAACATTTGTAGTGGGCCAAAGTATCAGCTGAAGAAAAGAACAAATATAAATTGCGTGCAGAACAGATTGCAAAGGAAGCAAAGGAAGACGACAGTCAAAAAATCATTTTGGTAGGTGTTTCTTTTCATATTTCGTGAATCACTGCTGTCATAAAGGACAATACTTTGCATTGCACTGGAATGGCTCTATTGTTCAGGAAACGAAAAAGCATCCTGGTAAAGTGTGCAGGTTTTTTTTTCTTTTTTTTCAGCCCCCTCCAGGAAGGATTCTTGTTTATCAGTGCATGTGGCAGAAATGTGACATCCAAGCCGATACATCTGATGCTCTTTACGAACATATCAAAACTACACACAATATGGAATACTTCTGTAAGCAATTTGTTTGATCAGCATATTCGGCAGTAATGGAGTTTAAGGTCTCGATAATCCAACGGCTGTTTAATAGTTAAATACGCGAAGTCTTACATTCCAGAAAAGTTTGGATACTGCTACCGCTGTTGAGAGACATTGCAGAGAATTCATTTGCAGAACGGTAAAATTCATAAATATAAGTCGGTTTAAGTACGCTTCATCTAAAGAATCTTCAAATATAGCTGAATTTTATGTATATTTTACCGAAAATTTTTTTAGCGCAGGGCGAAAAACGTTATGCTTGTTTATGGTCGACATGTTTCAGAAATAAACGATATCCAAGGTGGACTAATCTTTGCTTTTAATAAGATTCAAGATTAACATTGATTCCATTTTCTTTTTCTGGTCTTCTTTTAACTAGTTTCATCAGAACTGGATCTTTTCATCTAAAATTCAATTTAACGATGTTTTGACTAGGAGTGCCTCAATGCGTTTTCAGAAAGTTTGTGTGCGGAATTAAATTTGTAATAATGAGACCACCAAAAATATGCTAAACTGAATGATCTGGTAATCTTGCTTGTTTGGCTTATGAAGAATCTAAACATTTTCTAGATCATTTTCACTCCTGCCTCACCTACAGCAACATATTAAATACAAACATTTGCCAAGGTGCGCCCGATTTATCACACCAGATAAGAAAAGCAAGTGAGCGTTTAACAATCATTAATTTGTTTATCATTATATTTCACTTAAAAAGAGCTCTAGAAGCAACTTTATTCATGCGAGTTCGACTGTAGAAGTGCCTTGAAGAATGAACTGTACTATGAGATACAGTTTACAGTATGAGGGCTCTACACAGGGGGGCACGAAGCCATTTCGGTATTCAATGTTTTAGAAATGAATTGAATATAGGCTAACAGCGTCGTAACGTTTTATCCTTAGACAGCTTCTGTTATTTCAGGAACTTCTTCAGTTTGACATCGTCTGCACCCACACCTACAACTGATTCTGCGAGTGCAGTGCGATCATATGCACGAAAGACACATCCTTTAGTTACCTTGCACACACCATTTGTGTTACCATCCTCGCATGGGCAAATGCAAATAGCTCCAGCATTTATGATTCCACAACAGCAGCCCAGTAATTTTCCGCAGGTTTTTTTGTTCTTGTGCTTATCTCTCTTTTTTTTACACCTAAGAAAACCTAAAAAAATGAACTGTTATAAAGGAATTCATTTCCCCTTGACATCCAAGCTACCATTCCTTTAGTTCCTAAACTTTGCATATCAATGACGCATGATGCATGATAAATTGTGCAGTCAAATACAGTAAATTCTTCAGTCATCGTTTTTAGGATGGTTTTGCTTACGCACTGAGCGCTAATACATCGGGACAATCGTTCGCGGATGGTGGTGTCGCCATAGCGATGCTGGAACAAGAGGGAAACAAGGGCCCCACGAACTCCGAATCGTCAGCACTTCAGCAGGCATTTTACTCAGGACAGCAGTATTTGCCAAATTCAAACAGTGCTTGGACAGTTCCTAACAAAGGTACTCGATCTCCGGACTTCAACAACGGATAGTGGATTTTTTTTTGATGAGGCTGGTATGCACAGTACTGCTTGAAATTTTCAGCCATTAACTGTGACATATTGGAAGAGGTGCTTGGTATTCATTTTTTTCATTATTCAAACAATGCTGCGCAGTTAGGATACTTGACGATTTTAGGATATCGTCTTGATTTTGAGGCTAGATACTATACCTAAGGCCAAATACATTTGTTCCATTGCGAACTCGCGTAGCAGATTTTCCTACTGCGGCTGCAAATCGAATGAGGTTTTTGATTATGACATTTGAAGGGAAAAACATTTGGTTGAAGTACCGTTGTTCTTAACCAGTTGTTATTCGCGAGCTGTTGTTGTAACAAAGTTATTCTCAGGCCTCTAGGCACGCGAAGTGCATTTCTTGGACTTCCAACACATGCCTTTTGCGGCTTTGAAGCTATTGCTATGAGCAGTTTTATTATTTGTACCTTAATTTTTATTTCCAGCATATTTGAAGTTTTTTTCTAAGCCTTTTTTTAAACGTAATTTTTATTTTCGGTAGATCGAAATGTACGTATCGTTTTTGCCTCCATGTCAGCACAGGTATAGTTTCTAAGTTCATCAGCTTCAGCAAGCAAATATTTGAGCAGCCTTGACAAATAGTCAAATGAGAAGTACAGTGAATTGCGGTTTTATTTTTGGGCTGAAAATTACGATGCCTATTGTTGCATAGGTATTTCTAAAAAAGTTAAGCTGCTTGCTAAACATATTAAGTTGTTAAAAATGTTAAGCACCAGAATGTTTTCTGGCTTTTATATGATCGCATTTAAAGCATTTGTGTTTTTTGTTTTCTGAAATTTGTTTTGAAATGTTTTAAAAATGGAAGTTTTTCTGATGTTTTTATGAAATTATGGAGTATTTTATCATTTATTGTGAAGCGTAAATGTAGCATTCCCTATCGATTTCCCGCTTCGTGGAATACTTTTTCCATCTTCTGGCAGTCATTTATGCAATTAATTGATTTCAATTTTGCAGAAAATCACTTTAACTTTCTGAATTTTCAAGATTGGTTTAATATTGGCTATTTATATATTGCCTTTTTGATATGGGATATATGCTTGAATTTGCTAATGTAATGCGTTTCGTTTCGCCCTTTCTCAGAATTGTTCCATTTTTTTTTCGAATTTTACGCTGATTTCTTCCGCTTAGATCACTTGCCTGTTATGTATTTGTAAGCTGAAATTACGCAGTAGTCTTCAATAATACAGTCCTTTGGCATAATTGTTTTTTTATCATTCTTTTTCTGACAATTAACAGTGGCGTTTAGTGGTTACGATACTACCTTATCCTTCGGACAACTGGAATAGGTACCATCCGGTTCGATTATCTTCTCCCTTTTATTCTGCTTTGTCATTAATCAGTTCCAGATAAGATAGTTTTCGAACACTCTACGTGTCTTCATCTTCTCGATTCCTGTGCATTTTTTGATTGTGGAAAGTGCAGGGATCGCACGCATTTCTTGATAATTTTTTAATTTAAATTTGTTTACGTTATGTCAGTTTTCCAAATCATTCATACATTTATGATCAACTACTAATATTATGATTGTTGTGGTGTACATCATTTGCTTGACAAATCGGATGTTCTGCAATCTGACCGTCTTAATTTACAATCCAGAAATTGGTAGGGCATTTTCTCTGCCAGACAAAGAAAGGCGATGAAATTAACAGGAAGAGACCAAAGAACAGGAAAATAAATATTTACAACCGTTAATTGCATGGCTGATTAGACATTCCAGGTCATACCCAAAATGGACCTAACGATTGGTGAGACGTTGTTCTTCCTACATCATCCCTTTATTGTTGTTTATGACTATTATTCAGCAATGTTAACAATTTGTT